AAATAGGCAGAATTTGCACCATCCCAGTATGCAAAGTTGATAAAGAACCCATCCAAAAAGACCTGTAATTGCTGCCAAAGGCTATTCCACCACGCATTGACTCAAAGGGGTGAGTAATAAAGTAATTGGTATTTTAGTTTTTTTCTTTGCAATTTTCTGGCATTTAACTTCTTTTACTCATGAAAAAGTGTCAGTTTCTGCATTCAGCTTTTGATTTAAATCTTACCTTGTGTATAACGTGTATAAACTAAAGGGGACATTGCAGGAAGAGTATAATTACTAAGGCACAAGATGTCTCTTAGCCAGAGTTTCTTCACTGTTGGAGAAAGCAAAGCATTTGCCATTCTGCCCACGCTGTTTTTCATTGAGCTAAGGAAACAATTTTGGTTGGTATAAACAATAATATGTACTACACTATGGGAATTATACTCATGCCACATGTATTGTTTGTTCAATTCCTCGGAAATTCTGTACAGTAATGTTTTTGGAGTGGCATTTTTAATATGTTAACAATTATTTCTTGAAATCTGGAACTGATTTTTTATTTTATTTGTTGGCACACATTGTGTGGTACTCTGTTACTATTCACAGGAATTTATTTTTAAAACCAAAAGCAGAACATTTAACCTTCTATTAGTTCAGATTCTAAAGCATTCCTTGGCTAAAAAATCACCCTTTAATTCTATTGCAGTACCGATATGCAATAATTAAAAATCATAATATATAATACTTTTACTGCAGTTCAAAAGCACTTGCCTAACAGATAAAATATCATTAATCTCTTATGATGTATTTAATTCATTCTATTTGGGAAATGACCTGTATAAATGCTGAATTCCTTTATAATACCTAAAAAGCAAATGCACGCACTTTTGCCGTTTTTGCTCTAGAGGTTGTTGATTTATGATTAATGCAATATCTGCAATACATCAGACATCTGTACAAGCATAAACAAAATCACAGTAACCAGCTTCAACACATGTTGTAAACAAGTCATGCTATCCTTCAACCACCGCAAATAAAAATGAAAACACCAGGAGGGTTTTAATTGTGATTCCACCCCCACCCCCCCCCGACTCGAAGTCCGACTCGGGCACGTTTCAAAGCCCGGCAAATGTGCAGCATCATCGTGAGGCTCCACCTGTCAGAACAAGGAAATCGGTTCCCATGGAAAAATCCAGACCGCCGCCTTCTCGTCATGTGAAGACAAGATCAACATTCCTCACCCAGCCTGCCTACGCGCTCTCCTGTTTGAATGAACTCGACCTCGCCGGGCGACTCGCCAGGGAACAACGTCACATTCGAGCTAGCAGCCGAGAACACTATGTTCCTGGCCGCGACTCAAAAATGTGCTCGCTCTGTGCTGGGTGAATTGTTAGCATCTATCCTTTGCCTGTGAAATCTTTTCAATAGCCTGTTTTTTTTTTTATCGAACAAACAGTAGTAAAGTCAAGCTACGACAGAAGACGGGGCTCGGGACGTTTCTAGCGATTACGTAAAGTGTACTGTACACATTTGTCTTGCAAATCTCTTACTATTACAGTAAGCCCAGCAGGTAGAGTCTACCGTTTCCCACCTGCCCCTTCCCAGAATCTACCTGCCGGCCGCTACAGCCAGGAAGTCCTGGTTCATAAAACCGCGTGACTCATTTCCGCCCATTTAAGGAACCTTTGTGAAGTAATGAACAAATAAGTTTAATTATTTACTTCCTGAACTCGGAACAGTATTATTCAGCACTTATCTGCTTATCCTAATTAAGCAGATAACACTATCTAATAACACAAGGAAAGCTATTGTTAAAAAAAATAAAGAAAATCAACTATTTATAGCCCTGGCTTACCACCAATACAATGTTCAGACAGATATCGGGAACGCATTAACTATTAGAAATTAGAGAGGGGCCATTGAACTCACATGGCTCATTTGATGATTTTGCATCTTAAGCAAACGATGATCCCATCCAGCTGTTTCTTGAAGGGACACAAAAAAACCGTTTCAACAGCACAGCTGAGCAGGTGCAACAGTTCCACCGCCCCCCCTCACACCCCTTCATGCAAAGATGAGGCTCCCGTTCCCAATTCTGAATGCAGACCTTCCTAGTTGTGGATCTGAGCACAGAGATGGCGTTTCATTATCGGTCCTGAAAGGGTTCTGCGCAGTGGACTTTTGTCGATGCCTTACGCCTGCATGAATTCCACTAGTAGTCCTCTCCGCTTGAGACTAAAGAGTTTACGCTAACCTGCCTGAGAGTGTCCCTCCTTCAAGACCAGGGACCCACCTTGCTGTCATTCTTTCAGTTGATTCCAGAGCCGCAATATCCTTTTTCGCAACATGGCACCTGATACAGTACACAGCATTTAAATAAGGAATAGCTTTAATATAACCCCCCTTTGATTTAAAAAATGACATTTTCACCTATTATCTTATTATAGGCTTCCTTGTTTCTCCTCAGCAATGCCTGGATGAGGACACTGATGAGTCTACATCTCAACCCTTCTCAGACGTTTCTTCTCCAAGTTATCACCCCTCTTGTCCTACTGTCCTTCTGTCAAGTGATTGTTGCTGTATTAATCTCTTTTCAATTTAATTTTTCAGGTGCCTGCACGGTCATGAATCTGACTAAAATGTCTGAGGCTTTTTGCAGTACTTCTGCCATTTCGGAAGTATTTATTACTTCCTCATGTTTTCATCAAATGTCAAATTGAGAATTTGTCTATTAGCTATATCAATATTCTGAGCGATTATGTCCCTGTAGTGCTCCATTACTTACCATACCTTAGTCTAGGTAGAGCCTTCTCCCTTGATCATAATCATCATCTACACTGATATGATGATGGTATTCTTTACACACTTTACTTCTTCTTTTACTATTATTTTGCAGTAATAGTGCTGGAAAAACAACCTTTACCTTTTCTAACACCATTTTAACTTACCCACAACTCATCGTGCAAAAGTTATATGATAGACTCCAGGGGTACTTTATTTAATTCATGTACAGATTCTATATGTCCAGGATTTATTTAATTTATCCACATATAACTCTGCCTGTGATACCATGTTACATTATTATTGTTTGCGATAAGCAACAGTTACAGTAGGGGAAGGTACCAGCTTCATATTCAGGCTGCACATGGATTTCTTGTTCTCTACATTTCTTCATCTTAGCTTTTACTCATCTTCAAAGTTAAATATATTTGATATGGGAAAACATGACTAGCCACGCAATGATGACCCCATCCACAAAAATAAGCCACCCTAGATGTTTCATTTTGGACTGGTGCAAAACAGATTTTAGTTAAAATAATATTTTATTCTGATAAGAAGTCTTTGAAATATCACTATCATGTGAATAGCATTTCAGATTCTATCCAATTAACTGTACATAATTCTGAAATATCAAAATGTTATTTGATATTAAGTACGGAATGGAGTATGGAGTCAAAAATGAACCACAGTTTCTACAGTGCCTTGGGAACCAACAAAACAATTCTAAATTGACTACACAATTTGGGAAAGTGTATTTTAAAGAGTTCTCTTAAAAACCAGTGCCTTTTACCATAGTGTGCAGTACCACTGAACAGTAGTGTACTTTTTAACTTTGCATCATTACAAACCTAATAGATTAATAATATTCCAATTTGCATACTTCAATGCAAGAGGCTTCACACTTAATAGAGGAGAGGTACCTGTATTAGAAATGTATATCTACAGCTGTCTACTTTTCTCCACAATCTGCACATCCATGCTCTCACCTATACTGACACACTTCCTGGAAATGTTGTGCAGAAGAAAACACTCCATTCCAGAACAGAATGTCTAAAAT